TTCCTGCTGGTTTCTGGTGTTCTATCTTGGTCTTTTGACAAATCAAACATGTAGCTACATATTGTGCTACCTCTTTTTTCATTTTAGGCCACCAAAACATTCTCTTGAGATCCTGATACATTTTTGTTGCACTAGGGTGTATGCTCAACTTACTCTTATGTGCCTCACTTAAAATTATTTTCTTAATTTTTAAATCATTAGGCACACATATCCTATCATTAAATCTAAAAACTCCCTTTTTATCTATATTAAACTTTTCACCACCCTTTTGTCCCAACAATCTCTTTTTCTTTTGAACAAATTCATCAACTACCTGAGCCTCACAAATTTGTCCATGTAAGTCACTAGCAATCTACACTACATTTTATCCTGACTTACTACACTTGACAAATTCATATCTCTAAATTTTTCTATCAAATTCATCTCATGAATCATTAATGAAGAGATATGTAAAGATTTTTTACTCAGTGCATCAGCCACAACATTGGCTTTTCCTGGATGATAATGTAATTCAAAATCATAATCTTTCAAAAATTTCATCTACCTTCTTTGCCTCATATTTAGTTCCCTTTGATCGAACAAATATTTAAACTCTTATGATCACTAAAAACATCAAACTTACCACCATACACGTAATGTCTCCATATCTTGAGTGCAAAAACAATGGCAGCTAGTTCTAGATCATGAGTTGGATAATTATTTTCATGAGTTCCCAATTGCCTAGAAGCATATGTTACTATCCTTATATCTTGCATAAGAACACATCCTAATCCCATTTTTTAGGCATCACAAAATATGTAAAATTGTCCATTAGGATTGGGTAAGGCTAAGACTAGTGCAGTGGTTAATCTTTTCTTAAGTTCTTGAAAATTATTCTCACATTTTTCTATCCACTTAAAGGGTTGTCCTTTCTTAGTGAGTTGAGTTAAAGGCATGGTTATTTTAGAAATTCCTTCGATGAATCTTCTATAATATCCTGCCAAACCCAAAAAACTACGGATTTCTGTCACTGTCTTTGGAGGTTCCCATAGTAGAACTGCTTCTACTTTGGACAGATCCACAGATACTCCATCCTTGGAAATCACATGTCCTAAAAACTTAACCTTTCCTAACCAAAATTCACAACTTTTGGTGTGACCAATGCTCCTGCAGTGTTCATGGATTATATGAATAGGATTTTTCGTCCATTTTTAGACCATTTTGTAGTGGTCTTTATAAATGATATTCTCATATATTCTCGAACTCATGAGGAGCATGAAGAACACCTTCAATGATGTTGGGTAGTGTAGTTCACAAAGAAGTTCAGGCATGCAGCATCTCGAAGGTTCCACACAAAATTCGCAAGCCAAACAATGGCGCATACGAGCCAAAGGTTGTCTCCATCGGACCCTACCACAGGGAATCCGAAGGCGAAAACGATCTCGTGTTGATGGAACAACCTAAGTGGAGTTACATGCTGCATCTTCTTGGACGATCCCAACAACAAGAAAATGGAAACGCCGAGGAAAGTCAACTGGGACCAGAACAAGAAAACGAAAACGCCGAGGAAAGTCAACAGGGACCAAATGTGCTGAAAATTTGCGGCACAACCATTCTGGATTTAGACAACATAGTTCGTGCCAGCTACGGAGGGAACATTCAAACCGAACAACACGAGCTGGCTAAAATAATACTACTGGATGGTCTTTTCTTGTTGGAATTTCTAATCAGGCTTAGCAAGTACATGGCTGCCTTGAGCGACAACAATTATGTTGTCCTTAGTCATTACGTTGATGACCCCATATTCGAGAGTCAGGAGAAACTATTGTCTGTTTTGAGTGACATGTTGTTGCTTGAGAATCAAATACCTTTCATTGTTCTCAAGAAGCTGTATAGGAGACTCTTCCCCTATGATGTTCCCAGTGAGGAAGATCATCGTGTTGCTGAACTTGCATTGGGAGCTCTTGGCTACCCTTTGATTACTCCTACATCTGGCGTGGCTCACCTCCTTCACCTTGTTCATTTGTCCATAACAAACCAAGAGGAGAAACACGAAACGACTCACGTGCGGCGAGAGTTGAAGCGTTGTGCTACGAGGCTTCGAGCTAATGGAATAAAAATAAGACCCGCCAAAAGAAGCGATGTTGATTATACTGATCATTTGAACAAGTTTGAGTTTGGTAATAGCTTTGACTTTGAGATAAAATTCAACGACAAAGATGGGGTGTTGGAGATTCCTCAGCTGCGTATTAAGAAGTCAACGGAAGTCAAATGGAGGAACTTGATCGCCTGGGAGCAAAGCAGGATTGGGAACAGATGCAAATTGACTTCGTATGCATTGTTCTTCCAAGGTATGATTTGTTGTCCCCATGACATTGAACTGCTTGAGCATGTCGGGGTTTTAGTCAATGAATCCAAGAAAAGTAATGAAGATTTGCTGAAGCTGTTTCGTACTATGTGTGAGGGAGTTGAACACATGGATTCGATTTATCGCAAAGATTGTGAAAAATTGAACAAATACACGGCAACGAGTCTATTAACTGTGTTGAAAAAATGGCCTATTGTAATTTGGCATCGGTGCAGGTGTCTCTTTGCGATTATTCTTTTCTATTGGAAAAATTGGTACAGCATTTTGATAAAGGAACATATCCCTACGGTTTGGAAACTCATAGGAGTGTTGGCAGCTATCGTGCTGCTAGGTCTCACTGTGGCGCAGACATATTATGCAGCACGCAGCGATAAGAAAAACAAATAGTCTTGTTTGGGTTGGTTTCACAAATGCCAACTAAGGCAGTGAAGAAGCACAATCTTGAATGGTTTCTAAGAATCACTTGTTGCAGTGTAATTGTTTATGATTGTTTGTGTATTTGAGAGTAACATTGTAATGTTGCAGTGTAATGTAATTTAATGTTTGTTCATGAATATTGAGTTAGATTTTGGATGTAAGTCTTTATATATTAACTTTTGTTATAAATTACAAAGAAGATAGTGGGGCTTGTAAAAGTGGATTTAGTACGGCTGACTTCAAATTTTGCGATCAAATTTTTAATGCATTTCCTTGAAAAAATGTTCGCTTCTCGACCATCAATTAATGCATTATCATAGAAGGTATGATACTTCATTTGAAGTATACTCACAGAAATTTAATTCAATTGACTTGAAATTTTGAAGATATTCCTGCAATTTTGTTTTTAGAATAGAAAATATTTAGTATTTTAGTCTCAATTATTACTATATATTAAAAGACTGCCAAATTCAAGGAAATTGCGGTGCGTATTAGTACATATTTACTGCAGTGGTAATATAGATAGATATCACAAACAGGACACGGCAACCAAAAATTAAGTTCCAAGGAAGTGAATATACCAATATACTAAGCAACCAAAACCAATACAAGTAATTTCTACATTAGTTAAGTACTGGTAGACAGAACTACACTACATATTTGACCCTGGATTTTCATATTTGACACTGGATTTTTACATTCAGATTCGGCAAATAGTACCAACCTCAAGCTGCAGCAACAGCTTCAGGAGTTGCCACATGCACAACCTTGGGAGGAGGAGTACTTGTACTAGCTACATCAGGAGGTCCAGTATTAGCATCCTTTTTGGTTTCTGACGATGGGAGAGGCTTGGGCTTCATATGTGGAGGGAGATTATGCTTGAGTTTCAATAATATCTGGCGCATTCTTGAAAGATCAGTTGGCTTCCCTGGTTTTGGCCCTTGAATGACAACAATAGAAGGCTTCTTCTCTTTGTCCTTTTTCCCTCTCTTCTCTATTGTAGGAACTTCCTGTGGAATAAGTTCACAAATTGTCTTCCAGTAGTTTTTGTCAGCTTCAGCATGGAACTTCTCCCGGCTTGCCAAAAATAGCTGTCATAAATTCAAATTAAGTTGTTGCTTTACATTTTCGAAAATGTGGTTCCAGTTACAGTCATATATAGTGGAGCCAGTTGATCAACACCTAAAATACTTGAATAAAAACGGAAGAGGGGCCTGGGGAGGAAGAGGGAAATAAATGTTCCAGCTATAAGAAAAAAGATAAAAATACAAGCAGTGGAAAATAGTTCCACAGAACTACAATACAAGATGCTATTCGTACAGCTGAAAATCTGAGAATATGTCCAAATAGTAACATACTCTTTCTTTCATCAACTTGCATCAATCAAAAGGTGAATTTGTACATGTGACCGTCAATTTTGGTAGAGTTGGTAACATTGTAATAACGAGTCAGCAAAATAGCTAAAACTGGCAAGGCTAGAAACAATGATAGGCTCTCGGAATTAAAAATGATACTTGAACGTGTACATCAACACTTTCAACTTTGATTAACTATGGAATTGTTTAGATAAACTTCTTCAGCACTTCTAAGGAAACAAAAAATAAATGGACCTTTTCATAAGCTAAAATTAGCTTATACATGAATTAAAAATAAGTTTTTAAAAAATCTAATATGAAAGAAGTTTATATATACAGACTTGTTAATCATACTTATTTGTATTTTACTCGCCTGATGCACAACACAGTAACATTCCTCACACAATACAATCTTAATATAATTTTCATCATCAAACTTTAAGTTACTTATGCTTCAGAATAAATACATGCTTATCGCAAAGGTCTATCTTCTTTGTCACAAGGTTTGACTTCAAATTTTCCCTTTCCGGTTGCTTCCTCCAACTTCTGGTACAAAGTCAAATTCAAACATTAACATTAATATGCCTTATCTTTTTCACTTATTTCTCCCACTTGAACAATTCTTCTTGTTCCTTTTCTCATAAATCAAACCTAAACTTTCTTTACCTCTCCTTGTGTAAGCGCGCGTTTTCTAATAAACTAGGATTGCGCTCTCAACTATCACTGTAACCTATTAAATTATCACACAGATTGCCACTGAAATTATCATAGCACTCAATCAAAACAAAAGAATTTCAATCTTATTCAGTTTCTGAAGAAGAAAAAATAAAAACAAGCAAATATGCAACAAAAAATTTACCTTCTCTCTTTCCCGAAGCCTTGTTGTTCTCAACATTAACATCACGCTTTTTGTAGAACTCGACTTTGTACTCTTCCGCTTCCTCTATAATCTGAAACCGCATCTCCTTCTCCTTCTTCTCCTTCTCCTCCAATCGAATCGCATTCAGCCTGCATCATCATCATCACCATAATAATCAACATCATCATCATCACAAAATAAAAGTAAAGTGAATAGTAATCAGCAATTTCTTACCTTCGCCACTCTCTCAGAGCAAACCCCTCCTCCGCCGCCATATCCGTCGGAGGCGGCAATATCGGGCCATCGGAGGCACCGAAACCTGCGCCTACGCCCTCTCCGTTCTGCTCCGGCGAGAACGCAGCGAATCCCCCAGCGGCGGAGTAGATCGATGGCGGAGAAGGAGTCTCCGGAGCCGCCTGAGAGGAGAACACGTCCTCTCCGGCGTTGTACGACGCGCCGCCGAAAATCGGGGACGAGTCACCGGCCGAGTCCTTGAGCGAGTCGCCGTCGAAGTTGGAGAACGTGTATCCAGCGAAGGCGCCGTCGCCGTGGAACGGCTGGCCGGAGCTTCCAAAGGACGATGACATGGCGAATTTCCGGCGAGGCGAGGTGGCTGTAGAATTCGAGTCGAGTGTTTTAAGGGGGAAGGGGTTTTGCGAAGATGCAGTCGAGTGAATGCTTTTACGGCGCCGTTTTGACTCTTGTTCGTTGACTGGGTGAGTGTGGAGTAAAAATATCTAGAATTAGAAATAAAATAACCACTGGAGTAGTGACTACGAAGTGGAACTGAGTGCAGAAGATAAAATTTCTACATAGGACACCACAACCCGGAATTTTCTCAGGCTGCGCCGCTGCGAGTGCTTGAAGAGCGCTTCGATCGTTTTCCTATTTTTTTATTATTACTTTACACGTGTCCAAATCTATAGTTCTCTTCTCATATTCATAATTTTATTTTGGATAAAATAAAAATTAATTTTTAGTTTTTTCATTTATTTATCCTATTTTAGTCCTTGATTTTTAAAAATATATCATTTTTACATTATTAATTTAAAATTAAAAATAGTTTAGTATTTTATTTTATTAATTTAAATTAATAAATATTTATAAAAATATTTTATACGTTAATTTGAATTTATATAATGAAATATCATATGATTTAAATCTTTTTTAAATAATTGTACACTTATCTATATATCAAGAATTTTTAATTTAATATAGAACATAAGTTATTTAATAGAGTAAATCTATTAAGACTCAGTATTAAAGTAAGTGAAATTAGCTATAATGGTCGATCCTTGTTTTTATCATGACTTTGATGTATTGACATTTGAAAGTTCTTAAACCATACATCAAGTCTGTAAAGTTCTAAAAGAAATTGAAAATTATTTGATATTTCATTTCATTAATTAAAGTGATAGATAATTATAAAAAATATTTTATGCGTTCATTTGGATTAATAAAATGAAGTATTAAATAGTTTTCAAAATTTTTAAAAATTTGCATACTTGATCTTTGCATTAAGAACTTCAATGGTTGGGTCATTGAAATTTGATGTAGAATATAAATTATTGAATGGAATAAGTATAACTAGACTTACTATTAGAATAAATGAATCTCTCCTCATATATAACAAGAGAGAGATACAGAGAAAGAGAAGAGATTTCAATTATATTTGTTGTGCAACATAGTAACATCCTTAAAATAATTAGTTTATTCAAAGATATATAAAGTGCGATTCATTTGTGAGATTATGTTGAACAAAAAACATTATTATTGAAGTATTTATAGTCAAGTATTGTTTTTAACTAGGGTGATAATAATATAAAGAGATAATTATGTGAGTTGGTTGATTACCACATCTCAATCGTCATGGATATATAAGATATCAAGTATAAAGTTCTTAATTTTTAAAATTATATTGTTTTTCTTTTTAGTTTCAAACCCTGCATCTATGTTTTTGAACATTGCAAGCCTATTGTCCAAGTAGATGGTAAAAGAGAAACAAACACAAAAAGGGTTGAATGTGTGTGTAAATTTCGTAACATCCAAAAGGCATGAAGGATACCAAGAGAAAATATTATTCAACTTAATGTCGATTCATTCAATCTGAGCTACGTCCAGTTACCTTCAAGCTAAAAAGTTTCATTAACCACAAAAGGTTACATACAGTACCATCTAAAAACTCAACACCTCATCTCATCTCATTAGATCTTATTTCATCTTATATCATCATTATTAGTTTATTATATTCATATGCATTTGAATATTCATATTTACACTCAAGCATCTCATATCATATTACACTATTTATACTACAAGAAAAATGTAAAATAGTACCCGAAATTTATCAATCTCTATATTGTGACTAATTTAGCAGTCGATTATTAATAATCAAACAGTGACTGATTTAGCGACCAAAATAAGTCATTATTACAAAATCGGTTGTTATTTCTGTCATTACTTGATTATGTTTCATGAACACAAAGTTTGCAACAGAACCAACGACCAACTAGCTACTAAATTGTAAAAAACGTTGTGACAGAATTTAATTCGGTCGCTATATAAATTTTTTTTGACTTTTTTAGTGACCGATTATATTTCGGTAGCTACTAAACACAAAACAATCCACCCATAGCGACGAAATCGTATTCAGTCACAAAATATTAGTTAAACATAGCGACAAATTTTATTCGGTCGCTAAATAAAACTAAAAAATAATATAAATTGCTTAAAAGTGATGATAATATTGTTGGTGAGTATTACTCCCATTTTCTTTTTTTGTAAGAGGAAGACATTAATTTATAATAAAAATATATTTATATGCACTCCTACATAATTAATACCAATAGTTATTTATGTGAAAAAATATTTAGAGGTTTCTTTTTGACGATTGGATTTTTAGTCATTTTTTTAATTAGAGTATATGAATTTTTTAAAATTTCTTATTTATTTAGATCCATATTTATAATATATATTTCTAACTTATGATAACTTTATTTTTAAATAAATTTTTAGATTTAAATTTTATTGATAGAAGAAATGTGATTGAGAAAAAAATATTATAACATCCCCTCTCTTTCTAATAGGAAAAGTACAAATATATTTAATTATTAGTATTTCTTTGTTGTTGTGTATTTGTAATGGTTATCAAAAGTAAACTACAAGGAAATAAAAATATGAATTTTTTTATATATTTTAACAAATTGACAAACTTTAATAAATTAAGATTAGCGTCTAAAATTAAAAATATCAATAAAGTTGAATAATAGCGTGACATTCTCTATTTCTCATTTTTTATTTGGAAAATAAATAATTTAATATTTAAATTTTCTTGTTACAATTTTAGCTAATTTTTTATTTATCTATCTGTGTTGTAAATTATATTTCAACTAAAATAAAATAGTTAAAAGTTATATTGATTAGTCCTGCAAAAAATATTATGAATCTAAATATTCGGTCGCTATTAATGATGAATTTTTTGTCTCTAATTCGGTCGCTGAGTCTAATAGTGGCCGAAATAGACTAAATAGCGACGGATTTTGGTGGTCGCTAAAACATGATTTTTTTTACAGTGTTAAGATTTTCATATATACATAATATCACATTTTCTAATATGCTACTATGACCTACATAAAACATAAAACATGAAATATAGAGTTATACTAATCATATCAAGTTGATATTTATTTCATTTGAAAGCTAATAAAATTATTTGCAACTCCTATATTGATCTCAAATTTTGGTTTGACCATTTACTATACCTAAAATTATAAATAACATAGGATAATTATCTACCTTTGATAATATGACCTTTGTTCATTAATTTTATCATATATTGAGTTATAAAAGTGATATTGAATTGATTTGATTTGAAAGCCATTAGTTGGCTAGCATCTATAGACAAAATTTATATGAATAACATTATGCCTAATTGTGACAACCTGTCATGATCTGTATATTAACGGTTCAACTAATAGCAGTGAAAAATCAAGCTACAACTACTTAGGATTAATATATAAATTTTTTTTGGAATTATTAATATTAAGTTTGTTATATCTTTGTTAAATAATATTGTTTGAAAGGTGTGAATACATGTTTCAATTTCTTATTTAAATTATTGTCTTTATTGAGTGAATTCATTATATAATTGCAACAAAGGTTGTGAAGATTTATCTTCCAAAAATTAAGATTTATCTTCCAATTTATGAGATTTTGTAACAAATTTAAAAGTTTAATTTTTTGTGTTGTTACTTTTATCAACAACATAACTCTACTATAATTTATTTTAAGTGTTGTGAAATGAAAAACAAATAAAAAATGTTATATATTTAATGATTTTGAATGAAAAAAATGGAGAATATTTTGTGCTTATATTATATATTTTGAAGAGTTTGTTCTCTTAGAAAAGATTTTATATATATATATATATATATATATATATATATATATATATATATATGTATGTACTATCCGTACCGTGAAGCCGAGCTCTGAACTCGGCACAGCAACGTAAGATGACCTCGGGCATGCGTTACACAACGTCAGCTTGGCATTTAAGTGAATCATAACTGATCCCCGAGGATCTCGCCCCAGACAAGATCCATTATCTAATCATATTATACCATATTATATCTTATCTCAGGCCCAAAGCCCAAAGGAACCCTAAATCACTCCAAGGTACGTGCATTATATATACGAGACTAATACTCATACAAATCCTAACTTTGGCATCGGAGTCTCTTTTGCAGGTACCACCCCGATCTTGGAGCATCAGCGTACCCGTGAGGAGGCTCACCGATCTTACCAAGCGGATCAGCTCTACAACAGATTTCCGGTAAGAACATTTGGCGCCCACTATGGGGCCGATCGAGACAGCTCTTATCAGCCACCCGTATGGTATTCACTAGAAGCCATAATAGACGTGCAACAGACAACGCAGATCACTCAACCACCATGGACAGCAACGCTGCGACCTTGAGGAGGTTGATCGACCAAGTCGAACAGATGCGGCAACAACACGACGCTGACCTGCACAACATGCGTGCCCAGCACGAAACCGACCTAGCGACGATGAGCATCGCCAATGAAGCGGACCTAGCGGCATTACGCGCCGAGAACAAGCGCATCCGTGCCCCCTCTGACCACTCTCCTCACGAGAGCAACGTTCATGAAGACGAAGCGCACTCGGCCTCTCAATCCCGGACTGCAACTAGGGCACCGACTCCACGACCCGCCACGCACCGGTCTCACGCATCGACGCACAAGTCGGGGCACGACGTCAGCAGAACCCCCACTCGTGTCATAGAAGGCCAAGAAACCTTCCGCCGTCATCCTTTTATGGACGGCATTATGGAGACTCCATTCCCCCGCGAATGGAAGCCTCTTCATCTCGACTGCTATGATGGCACGACGGGCCCTGATGAGCACATCGACCTGTATACAACCCAGGTAAACCTCTACACTAATAGTGATGTTATTCTGTGTAGGGTTTTTCTGACCTCGCTCAAGAGAGCTGCACTCCACTGGTACACCCAGCTACCCGCCAGGTCCGTAGACATTTTCAACAACCTAACCCGGCGGTTCACGGCGCAATCCCCCACAAGCCGACCTCACCACACAACCTCGACCGCGTTGGCCAACCTTAGGCAGAATGACGATGAACCTCTACGAACCTTCATGGAGCGTTTCTCTAGCATCTCGGTGAGAATCAGAAACTTAAATCCCGAGGTCGCCCTACACTCCATGCTCATGGCCCTCAAGGCAAGCCCCTTCGTTGACAACCTGTGCTGGGATCCCCCCTGCGATATGGACGAACTCCGTGCTCGTGCGGCTTGGTTCATCCAGATGGAGGAGCACTCCGCTTTCCATGAC